GGATGATAATATCAAACTTGTCTTTTGCCAAAACGTCACCAAAACTCCTAGTCCCGATGAAATCCCCGTCATTTTAGATCAATACCATTGTGGTAAGAAAAACATTCATCGAGGAACTAATGAAAAAATTAGGCGAATTCGTGAACGATATAATTAGCCCGGCTTAACTAAAGACGTTGAGCATTTCATCAAAAAGTGTGAAATTTGTCAAAAGACCAAAATTTGTCGTAAAAACCTCAGTGCCCCTTTTGTAGTAACTGAAACCCCTAAAGCCCCGTTCGAAAGAATCAACATTGACATTTTGGAAGTCCCACCTAAATGCTACGCTCTCACAATCCGAGACGAGCTAACAAAATTTTCTCAAGCCTATCCAATTAGCGACAAATCTGCAAAATCTGTAGTAAATACTCTACTTTTATATTTCCAACATTATGGTACACCTCTCCGAATACACTGTGATTACGGAAAAGAATTTGACAACGCCCTCATGAAAGACCTTTGTAGTCTTTATGACATTAAATTAACTTTTTCTAGTGTCAGTCATCCCCAGTCCAATGGCTCGATTGAGCGATTTCACGCCACCTTATTGGAAATGATCAGATCCCATGTATCCGAAAATCCCGAAGAACATCCCTTCAATATTCTTCACTATGCTGTTCAGTGCTACAATAGCACTAGAAATAAAACTACTGGCTTTACACCATACGAGCTCGTGTTTGGCCACACCTCTGGTCGTCCGCCCGAACACGTATATTTAGAAAAAGAATTAATGTCCAAGTATGTTCGAGACATTCGGAATAAACTCGAATATTACTACAAAATTGCCCGCGTGAAAACTGACGAACAGAAGCAAAAAGCAAAAATTCGCTTTGAGGGTAGAGTGTCACCCAGTTTACAATCATATAAAATTGGCGATAAAGTCTTTGTGAAACAGTCTCAAATTTCAAACAAACTTCAGAACAAATTTGATGGTCCATTCGAAATTACTCAAGTTTTTGAAAATTCTGCGCTCCTTAAGAACCCGGAAACAAATAGAATAAGTAAAGTTAATTTTGACAGACTGAAACCATGTTTTGAGACTTAGTTTCTCTTTCAGGTTCAGTCTGCTGTTTCTTGCGGCTGTCACAGCCCAGATAGACATCAAACCGCTTAACAACACCTTAGGTATCTATTTTCATGAAGACGCCCCTCTTAAGATTTCCAACGAAATTTGGACACTCTTTGTATATAAAGACTTAGAACTCATTAAGAAAGCACTTGACGATAACAACTATATTCTGGAACACTTATCATATCTCGTAGACAAACCCACCAATCGTATGAAAATATTTAGTGGCGAAATTAAAACTCATACAAGTCTCCTTCATCAAATTTCTCGTTCCTTGGAATTTAAATATTACGCGATCTTCGATGACACTGTAAGCGCATCGCGGATGAAACGCGGTCTGATTAACGCTATAGGTACCGTATGGAAAGCAATAACCGGCAACCTCGATTCATCGGACGGTGAATACTATAACGATTGTATTAACAAAATTTCTAAAGATGAACATGAGCCCGAAAACCTCATGAAGAACCAAATTTCTGTTACCATGTCGGTTATCAAGAATTTTAATAATACTATTCAAAAACTTATGATTGATGAAACTACGTTTAATGAAGATATTAAGGTTAATGAAAACAAAATTTATGAAATTTCAGACGATCTTGCATTTTATGAAGCTAAATTCCAATTTTTAGAAGTTTGCGAACAATTAATGGAAAGCTACATGTTTATTCTACTATCACTCCTCAAGACTTAGTAAATTCTCTTCAAGAAATCTCTCACACTTTGTCGAGAAATAATTTACCCCTTCCGGTTAATTTGGCAACAGTGTCAGAGTACCTTAATCTTATGGAACTCGAAGCGTATCAAACTAAAACAAGAGTAGTATTCGTTCTACGCATCCCGTTATTAGAGCCCGAAATGTATACTTTATACAGAGTGATTCCTCTACCCATTCTCGATAAACGTACTGGTTTGTTTCATGTAGTCTCCACTATACAGAGGTACATTGCTAAAGATAGCGATTCTCTTTTGTACGTTTCCTTTCAAAATTTAGGTAGTTGTAAAGTTCTTCAGTCTCAGGTGAAAATCTGTTTCAACCTCTTGCCGTATCCAATAGACAGTAATGCAGTCTGCGAAGCACAGTTGTTGCGAAATCCGGTCGATCTGCCGACAGCCTGCCAAATAGCAATTGTGGCATTGCAAGATTACAAAATCCAAGAACTTGCAACCAATTTTTGGCTAATCACCATATCTAGCCCTCTGCCAATTACGATGAAGTGTGGAAAACGAGAGACTACCACCAAAGTGATAAAAGTTAATTCACTTTTAAAAATGCAGCCCGAATGCAGTGGCTTTGTAGGCACCACGAGATTACATTCTAGATATTCTGATAGCACCTACAAGAATATCACATACAAAAGTCACCCTGTAGAAGTACCCTACAAATGCTGTGAACATCTCCCAGAGAAACAAATTTTACCAAAATTAAAGCCGATCAAGCTAAGCAAGATCGATACTGAAGAACTCGAAATTGCCAATCACAAATTAAACCAATATTCTGAACAACTGGACAAAATTATGAACGAGCCGTTTGTTTCGAGACATCTCTCATGGTTCACGTATTTCATCATCACCCTGTTAGTTATCATCGTAGCTTTGTACCTGTTCTGCAAGTGCAGAAAACGTAGACCACTCAGCATCTGCGCATCAAATTATCCAGCCGATGGCCCATCTCCAGGAGCACCAAAAGTCAGGTACATTCCCAGACTTTTTCCTCGACGTAGACCAACCATCCAGCCGCATGAAGAAGACATCGAACTGCAGTGAGTGTTCCGTGAAGTCTTTTCACTGTTCAAAAAAAAAAATCATTTTCAATTTTCGTGTTATCTTCCATGTGATTTTGCCCGTACGACTGTACGATTGTATCTTATTATCTGTTTGTTCCAACTTTGCTTTTAGATGTTATTTTGCATCGCCAATGTACCGCATTTATGCTAATAATTTTATTTTTCAGAATCTGTATTTTCTGATTTTACTTTTGCAATTTGTATTTTGTAATTTTACTATTTTTATATTTTTATATATTTACAATGTTTACAATTTTACAATTTTACAATTTTTACATTTTTACAAATTTATACTTTCGACATTTTTTTGATATTTTTACATTTTTCAATTTTGGTCAAAAGTTGTCGCATAGCAACAACTTTTTGTAATACGGGGGAGTTGCTATATGGCCATAGTAACTACGCAGTTATTATACAATGTTGCACCAGACGATGTGTCAGCATATGATAACTTCTCGCTAATCCGTTGCTAGAATAGTGCCTTTGCTGTTTTCTGCTAATTCTTAGTCAGCTTTCTGAATGTATAAATAGGCCTCGCGGCCATATCCTGTCGTTCAATACCCGGTTAGACTCCGTAAATGTCACATTTGTAAACCTTTGTATTTTATATGGACTGAAGCTTCAGTCCTCAAATAAAATTTTTTAAAAAGTTATTTCTAAATCTAATGATTTAAGAGGCATAACAACAGTAACCAGCTAAGTAGGTGATGACAGGGATTTCATCCTTTATACTATCAATATCAGACTGTAAAATTTCAATTTCAAAGTGGTAATCATTAAAATTGTGTAGAATTTCATCTATTTCTAAATCATCATTTTCACAGAATTTATCTATTTGTATATCACCATAGCGAGACTTCAGTGACATCGGGCTTTGAGTTCGTAACTTTTTCTCAGATTCATATAACTGACGAATTGATATATTATGTTGACCCCTGCCAGTTGACGATACTTACCAAATCTATTTTCCAATGAGTCAGTTTGAAATTTACCTAACAATATATAGTTACTGTGCAGTTCAGATTTACAGTACCTTACTAATACCAATAAGCCATACACTGTATGATGTAGTGCAGTGTAAGTCTGACTAGTTAGTCTTTTTGAAAATTTTGCTGGATCATTCAACTCTTCTAGCCAATCTAGCATTTTTTGCAACAATGTCAGCTTACTGTCATCACCTTGTCCATCACTGTTGGAGCAAACAATAGGCTCTGCATAAAGGTCATTTAACCGCTTTCCTTTCAATGGACTTTTTACGCTAACAATTCTCCACCACTTCCATAAATATCTATGAATTTTGCTGTCTCTTCGGAGGGCTGTATGTTTTTACCAAACCTTGATACTGCATCTATTACAAATGGGTTAAATATCTTGAGAGCTAAATGAACATTTTGTCTTTCAAGGTTGGTAAGATATAAGGCTTTTATCTGGAGAAAAATGTGTCATCGCTTTACTATTCAGTGCATTATTATCACTTACAACACAAAAAATGTTATAACCAAGTTCTTCTAATCCAATAATACATTTTTTTGTCATATTGTATAATAGATTATCATCAATTGTAGAAAGAGGACAGATTTGAACAACTTCTTTGAAATTGGAGTAGAAGCTTCAAATAATTGACGTTCCAACGTTTGAAATCTAAATATGGCTGAATGTGTATTTCATCCATCAATAAAATCATGTACTTACTCCTCACCAGGTTTTACAAATCTTAAAAGGTTTTTTGCATAGCCTAAAAAGTTATATCTCTCATCGGGAACTGGATCGACCAGCAATGTATTCATTGACTTCAGAGTATTTTGGTGTGGTAAAATAAGTGCTCCATGACTCCTAATAAATCTATATGAATGTGGACTGATTGTATACAACATAGAGCAAAACACTATTGTTTCTGATGAGTAACTGTGTCTGTACTTCTGACTAATAGCAAGCTTTAGTTGCACATAAATAAACTGAATGAGAGTGTGGGTCTCTTCATCGGTGAATAGTTCTGTGCTATTTAAAATATTGTGCATGATTGATAGTGGCTCTGAACTGGTCTTTACCTCGAAGCATCTGCATTCTCAGAAAGAACATGCAGAACATCATCCAAGTGGTGTATATTAGATAATAAAAATGGAGTTGAGTAACAATTCTTGGGAGTACATATACGTTTTTACATTGAGATCTTTAGCAACAATTACAGAGTGAGTTATGATGGGTGCTGGTTTATATTCTAACTTAAACAAAGTAACTTTATCCTGAACAATTTTATGCCACCCATATGGACATTGCCATGAACTGAAAACTGTGAGAAAGTCTGAATAATTTTGAAAACAAGTTGATTTTTGATAGAAGGAATAATCATCAATGGTAGTTTGCAGTGCTTTAAGTAGTTGTTCTTGTTCCTTGTCCCTCAATTTCTCATCTCGGCTTCTTCTGCTTGATATGTCCTTTGAAATATAATACTTGGAATTACATCTGCCTTTAATTTTGGATACTTAAGGGGTATAGTAATGGTTCTACCTGTCTTTTCGTCATGGAAGGTGGATTCCCAAATGATGTTGTCCTCAGCAAAGTGCAAATTACATACTCGGGTGTATTTTGTAACCACTAAGACACTACGAGGAATTGCATTGAGCCATCTTTTACGACAGTTTTCGTTCAATGGAAACGAAAATACGTGTACACAATTAGGCACGCAGCACTTGTAAGGCATTTTGAAATCTTAGCTAAACAATCGCGAGACACAAATATAAGTTTAAAACATCAATAACTTTCAGTTTACATAATATAGAAAGATGAGGCTCAGATTGTGAGGTTAGTTGGCAAGGTTGCCACATATTTCAATTTTGAATGGAATATTAGACTTCACAAGTGACCGGTTGAACGTAATATCGAAAATGTATTCTTGACATACTGAGGCAGATCAGAAAGAATAATCACATCATCACTGAAGCTGCCCAGGCCCCGAGTACATCTTGCAAATTCACCCACAGAGAGGTACAACTAATTAGTAGAGATTTCGATACTGCTATATCAAACCTAGATATGACAACACCCCAGAGAAATGGTGGCGCGGTTCTCTTGCCAGCCAGTCATCGCGAAACTCCATGAGAACATGCATAGGCCTACTCTGCGTAACGTCACAGGCTTTTCAAAGCCCAGTTGCTTGGCCTTGTACTCTCGGTGGTAACGGTACAGGTCGTCACTGCTTAAAACAGAAAAAAATCGCAGAACCCAAACGAAGAATTGTACCACCAACAGACTCATATATTTTGTAGAGACCTTATTAGAGTACATCTTTATGGCATAGCTTTGCGAAAAATCAGGGGACTACAGGGTGATTCTGTGCGTAAAGGCTTCACTGCTTAAAACATAAAAAAACCGCAGAAGTCAGGAGACTACAGCGTGAATCTGATACAAGATGGCTTAGTCAAAATTTCAATTCGATGTTTCTTCTTTCGACTTCCATCATCAACTTTGTTTTTCATATGGACGCTATATTGGAATTTTGTATACTTAAATGGACATTTCAGTCCCACATTCAGTAATGTATGCTAAGTGACATATAAATCCGAACACCCAGTTTAAATGGTTTTATTTTAATAAAATTTTGTATAAGTACTTAATGAAGCATAATAAGTAAATGATAAAAATTCCAAAATGATTGCACTGCTTTAAAGCCCTTTGACCTTTAATAATGTGTGGATGCACCCTGATGTGCTACGCATTCTCCAACGCGCCTAGGCATGCTTCTGATCAGGTGGTCAATGTCCTCCTGTGGTATCTCATTCCAGGCAACCACCAACTCCTCTCGAAGTGCTTCTAGAGTCTGAGGAGGACGTTGCAAATTGAGCAATCTCCTACCCATCATATCCCACACCTGCTCAATTGGGGATAAGTCGGGAGATCTTGGTGGCCATGGTAACAATGTGACATCATTATGTTGAAAGAAGTCTATTGTGACTCTTGCAACATGTGGTCGGGCATTATATTGTTGGAAAGTTGGATCTGCCAGGGTATCAAGATAGGGTAAAAGATGGGGTTCTAGAACTTCGTGAATACAACGCTGCGCGTTCATGTTACCTCTGATGAAGATTAAAGGTGACCTGGAACCATAAGCTATAGCACCCCAAACCATAACTCCAACAGTGTGATGAACATGTCTTTCAACAAAAAACTGTGGATTCCTCCTTTCACCACGTCGCCTTCTAACCCTGGCACGACCATCGTGCATGCCTAAACAAGATCGAGACTCGTCACTAAAGACACTGTTCCATTCCTGACCCCAGAGCGACCGTTGTCTGCACCACTCAAGGCGATTACGTCGGTGTTCTCGAGTTAAAGGGAGGACCCAGTGTGGCCGGTATGAAAACATGCCAAAACTTCTCATTCGTCGGTAAACACTTCGCATGTCAATAGGTCTTCCGCGTTCTGCAAACCATTCATTTGCAATGGACCTGGTAGTGGAGAAACGGTCCCTTAAGGCCAAATCTTAGGCGGCGATCTTCACGGTCTGTTGTTCTACGGCGGCGTCCAGTGCCCCTTGCTCTTTGCGTACGGCCTTCTCGAAGCCATGCCTGACTACACCTAACCACAGTGTCTACACTTCTTTGCACTCTAACTGCAATTGCCCGAAAAGAAAGTCCAGCTTCTCGAAGTCCCAATATACGGCCCCTATCAAACTCACTAAGTTGACGAAATCGTACAGGTCTCCGTACTCTAGGCATCGTAACCGATCGTAAAGGATGTCAAGAACCAAAATCCGCCAACGTTGATTCTTTACTGCGGCTGAAATATTCATTTTTAGAGCGTTAGTGAATTAAAAAAAGCAGTATAAAAACCGCAATGTCCAACTGATAAGGGTGAAAATTTTTTCACTTGTTATTTACAGTAAGATAAATACATTCACCAACTTTTATTAAAATAAAACCATTTAAACTGGGTGTTCGGATTTATATGTCACTTAGTATATTTCCGTAGCTGGTCATGAATCTGTTGTTGGATGAAAATTATAAGGAAATAGAAAGGTATGGTAGAACCTGATAAAATGATAATATATTAATGGTAAACACTATAATAATCATAATTAAGCAGAGGTAAATCATAGCAGATCTTTAAAACGTTATCCGTTATTTTAGGCAAAGCCTGACTCGTCTCTTTACATTGCTCAATGCTTTATTTCCTCTTTCTCAGTATCTGTTACTATGTTCAATTTGTTTGGTATACAAAACGAATGAACATCTGATGGTTTCAAGGACTACCTAGGAACTTCTGATTTTCTGGAATAATTAAGGTTTGGCAATGTCATATTTACATTTTTGAAATCAGAATTAATAACTCTATTTATCTGGGAAAAAATCCAATATGGCGTCCATTACAGAAAGTAAAGTTGATGCTGGGGTACACGAGCTGAAACGTCATATTGAAATTCGCAACTTTGCCCGCATTTAAGCGAACTCGTATCTCTTACAGTTTCGCAGATCCCAATGGTGAGGGTCGAATTTAAACACTCGGAATACAGCAGAAACCCTGAATATTTCTGGAAGATGTATTTGGCGAATTATATATCATCATTTAAACTATATCTTGTTTTTGTCCCAATAAAAGGACTAAGATTGTTTGACAATTATTTACATCATTGAAAAACATGAAAACTGAGATAGCCATTGTACTCGTGATACCTTCACATCGATAACGCACTGGCGCATCGCGCTTAGATAACATTAGTTTTTGAGGTATCCAAGGTTGAATTGTATACTTTATAGCCCTGACCTGACACCATGGGATTTTGGCTTTTTTCCGTTTGCGAAAAGAACGCAGGTTTGCATCCGAAAACGAGCTAGTAAACGTTATTATTATCATTATTATTATTGCTATTATTACTATTACAAAATATAAATGAGCAGAATACAATACTACAAGCTCATGAACAGGGTGACCAACTAAGAATGGGAGGTACTGTATCTGAAAACTTATCCATCGTAGAGCCCAGCGGCAAAAGCATCTGTTACTAAAACGGCCAACAAAAAAAAATTGGAAAATATTTAGAAATATCTGAAATGGCCGCTAGGGGGCGCAACTGCAATCTTGAATCTAAAAAAGTGATGCTTCTGTGAATTCCGCTATATTAACCTAACAAAAAATACCTGATCTTTAAATTTGAGGATAAGGAGCCTTTTTTGTTTGTCAATTTTTGTTGTATTAGGTTTCCATTGAAGTTTTGTTAGTTTCACATCTGGCCGCTAGAGGACATTTTCAACATTCCGACAGTAAATGGTTTATTTGCTCAAAAAAGTAAATGCATTGCTATGATTTTTTTTTATGAAAAAATAGGTAAGTGATGTCTAAACAACCTCGCCAAAACCTCAATAATGAGGTAGAATGTTGTCGAGCGATAGTGACAGTGAGAGTGATTTGTCTCTAGTAACCAAGTGGTAGATGTTTAGTTCTCTACCAAATCGAAAATACAGTAAACATCCAGTAAACAAAGCGAGACAGGAACTTAGAGAGTACCATCATCTTTTCCTCGAATTGAAGAGAGGCAAGGAGAGATTCCACTCCTAAATGAGAATGTCGACAGATACAGTTGGTTACATACTCGACAAAGTTGAGCCTCTACTGCTCGACCGCAAATACACCAACTTGTACAGTAGTCCAATTCTTGCTGAGGAACCAATCACAGCTAAGCCCACCGCGATGTTTCCCTTCTGACAGTGAGGTAAGAACAAAATATTTGTTCTTCTGCGCGGTCGACCGCGAGGGAGTGCATTCTGCACCGCTACCTTCGCTTCCTCGCAGTCGACCTCGCTGTCAGGAGGAAAACATCGGGGTGGACTTGGCTGTGATTGGTTCTTTCAAGATCGTGCTCTTTCCGCAGCAAGAATTAGATTACTGTGCAAGTTGGTGTACTTGCGGTACTCTCCAAGTTACTGTCTTGCTTTGTTTACTGGATGTGTACGATATTTTCGATGTGATAGAGAACTAAACATCCACCACTTGGTTACTAGAGACAAATCACTCTCACTTTCATTGTCGCTTGACAACATCCTGCCTTATTATTCGCTCGTGATCAAATGAAACATTAAGAACCACGTTCGAAGAGAGAAAAGAAAGCATCGAGGGTGAATTCAGTTTGAGCACCCTCCATCCATGTAGCAAGTCGCGAGGAAGCGCTCATCGAGGTAGCGAAGAAAGCATCGCAGTAGCATGTTCATGTTCATAGCGAAGATGATGTTTTAAGTTGGGAGCGTTCACGGTGACGATGCATTCTGCACCGCTACCTCGCTTCCTCGCAGTCGACCTCGCTGTCAGGAGGGAAACATTGGGGTGGACTTGGCTGTGATTGGTTCTTTCAAGATCGTGCTCGTTCCGCAGCAAGAATTGGATTACTGTGCAAGTTGGTGTACTTGCGGTACTCTCCAAGTTCCTGTCTTGCTTTGTTTACTGGATGTGTACGATATTTTCGATGTGATAGAGAACTAAACATCCACCACTTGGTTACTAGAGACAAATCACTCTCACTTTCATTGTCGCTTGACAACATCCTGCCTTATTATTCGCTCGTGATCAAATGAAACATTAAGAACCACGTTCGAAGAGAGAAGAGAAAGCATCGAGGGTGAATTCAGTTTGAGCACCCTCCATCCATGTAGCAAGTCGCGAGGAAGCGCTCATCGAGGTAGCGAAGAAAGCATCACAGTAAGCATCTTTCACTATGAACGTATTCTGAGGCTGCGGTCAGAGTAGCACCGTTTTAGGCCAAATAATTTTTCGGCCGTGTACGCCCGATTCTTCCGATCGTTTCAATTTCTTGGTATTCTATTGACCTGGTCACAGTACATTCGATTTCGACCGACAAGTACAGCCAAATTCTTCGGAGGAAATCAAAATAATTTATTTTTTTTCGGAAGCTTCGGTGCATTTTGCGAACAATTTCATAAAAATGGTTGACTGTGAAATTTTGATTAGTTTAAAAAAAAAGGGTTTGTGGTATATAAGAAATACAATCTACCACAATAGAGACATAGCACGTAAACTGTGGAATTAGATTGCCTCAAAAATGCAAACTACAAGTAAGTATTCGATATTATATTCTTAATGTAAACAGTTTGGAATAAAAAATAGTGTACAAGAATATTATTAAGTATTAATCATTACTACGGCTCATAGCTCCTACAGTGTTAAAATATTGTTTAAATGTGTCGCGTATTTCATATGCTGCTCTTGTAGCACGGTTAAAGCGTCTTGATCCTCTGTTTTCATTGATTATATCCTCTTTAATCAGAAGTGCTCATTTCTGAAAATGTTGCATCCGATATTCCTTCCTTGTCAATTACAATATTGTGCAATAAGCAAACGCATTTCACTATCACATCTACGTGATCTGGGTGAAGTAATTCTGTTTTAAGGCATCTCCATTTGCTCACTAAAATGCCAAAAGCACATTCCACAGTACGTCTAGCTCAGTTAAGCCGGTAATTAAAGATTTCCTGTTCGTGATTAATAATGTCATGAGAAGGGTATGGTCATATCTAAATATGATTTTAGAGGATAACCTTGATCACCTAATAACACAAAAGGTGCTGTCAGGTTAGTATGCAGCAGTTCCCTGTTAGACGGTAAATTGAATGAGTTGGTTTCCAATCGGTGATACACATTGGTCTCAGAAAATACTCCACTATCACTCTGCCTTCCATATCCTTCTATATCTACCGCAACAAACTGATACCAATCCCTTGAAAGTGAACGGACAAGTATTTTTTGTAGTTATAAAACTGTGATCCGGATTTTTGTGGACACCTTATTCTTACATATTTATAAAAATTATAGATTGTTGGCATTGGCATGTGCTTTAAATAAAAACACACTCCATATAGCTTCACATGTGTCGTAAATAATATTTGCTATGGTATTATGTGCCATTCTAAACGAAAAGGCTATTGATCGGAAGGCAAACCCCGACGACAGAAACAAAAAAAAAATGTATTAAATACTTTGTTTTTTTATAATGAAATACAATTTTTTGTAATTAGTATGCTCTCAATTCCAGATTGCGTTGCCTTCCAAAAAATACAGATCTCTTGAAATTCTCAATGAGTGAACGAACTAATTTACGTTACTTTTACATGAGGTCGTCAAAAATAAGTTGTAAAATGTTCGAGACACTTATCGCAGGGAATATATGCCAAACGGTTCTGGCGCAGAAGGTCCTGTTTCTAAATGGAAATATTTTGAGCTATTATCGTTCTTAAATGATACTCTAGCACCAAGGAGAGTCGAGAGTAACGTTTCTCATACGCAAACAAAGTGAAATCTTCAACACCACAAGATGAAATTTCCAATTCTGAAACCGATTCAAATATAAAATATGAGGACGTTTCCCAAGTAGAATCTGAAAGAACATCACATTCTGATACAACAATAAAACATGTTGGGAATGCATCTGATGCTACATAAAAGAGGATATGTGTCGCATCATTTGAAACGCCGAATAACAAACAAGACTTTAAAAAAGAGAAAACGACTTCAGAAAGATTCAATAGATCAACTAATGCAAATTGGGAGACAAAAAAATGCCCATTTGGAAGGAGTCGTTTCCCAGCCGAGCACATAAATTCAAAATGACGAGGACTATTTTTTTTCTAATGACGAAAATTTGACTGTTTTTGAATTTTTTATATACTTAATCAATTATACTGGTTGTTCCAGTAGCTGCGGAAAGAGGATATGATATTCTCCAAGTCTTGTTCTGGAGCGAAAAATATAGTTTGTGTGATATTTCTTCTTTTTCATTAATAATATCTTTAAGGCGGTACTGGTTTCTGCATATAAAAGCGTCTGTACGTTATAAAATCGTCTATACGTTAATTTTGCTACAAACGCAAAATAAAAGCTAACTATTGAGTAGAGAGAACTACGGCAGAACCTTTCAAATGTTTCCCCCGAAAACGGAGCCATACTGACTATCTTCTTCGGATGAAACATTCGGCCGTAAACGACAGACAAATTATTCGGTCGAAAACGGTGCCACTCTGACCGCAGCCTTATGCTGACTACACACGATCCGGCAGGCCTGTCAGTTCGAACTGAACAGTCCGCCTGAAGACCGGTCGCCTGAGCGTGTATATATTCCGGTCGACTTGTCAGTTAAGACTGTTCAGGCGGCCGGAGAAAAATCAAAAATATGTTCGTTTATCCGTCCGGCCTGACGTACTCAACGACAAGCCTGAACGTGTGTATGGCGTGGCCGCCTGTTGGGACATCCGGCTGTCAGGTCAAACAGTTCAGTTTAGTACAGAACCAGAGTATAGAAGTCGTTACCATGTCGCGGGAAAGAGAAAACACGTGTTTAGAAGAATTTATCGCGATTTATCGCAATGAGTTGTGTCTATGGCAGGTAAAATCGAAAGACTATCACGACCGTGGCAAGAAAGAAGCGTATTTAAAATTGATAGAGAAATTGAAGGAAATTGATCCTTCTTGTACGAAGTCTACTGTTTTAAAAAAAATTAATAATTTGAGGAGTAGTTTTCGAAAGGAAGCAAAAAAAGTGAAGGATTCAATGAGGACGGGATCAGGGGCCGATGAAGTTTACCATCCCAAACTTTGGTATTATGATTTGTTGAAGTTTGTGGAAGACCAAGAAGTCTCTCGAAACTCTCGAAGCAATATCTCGGATGACGAAGACAGCGAAAATGAGGTAAGTGACAGAAACATTCAGTAGATAGTTTGTTTGTTTATTTATTTAATAAACACATATTTTTCATAATGTAAATAAGTACCTATTTGTAGGTAATTTGTGTATTTTTAGGGTGGTCCAAATTGGTCAAAAAAAGTCATTGGTGCAAACAAAATTTTGCAATTTGTAATCGTTTTGTTGCCAGGGGACGTTCCTAAAATTTAGTCGATTTCTTTCAATAAGGGGTGTTCCCATAAGAGAGCGACCAATTTGGACCACCCTATACAATAGTATTATTAGTAGGTAAGTTTTTATTGGATGAATCTATCTTGCCAAGGAACTTTACCTTCATTTGTAAAATAACTCATAAAGGCCTCCCTAACTTCTTTTGCTGCATTCGCTGTATTTCCAAATGGTCTTCGTTGCAAGCTAGACATATTAGAACCTCGTGAATTTAATCCAAAATGTGTCACACCTTCTTCCGTATCATCATAGTCAAAGCACTCTGGAGGACATAGCTATCAAAAAGTTATGTAACATGCAGCAAGCCATTACAACGAATTCAATATTTCGCGGTTCCAAATTAATGCAAGTGTGATATATCCGAAATCTGGCAGCCAATATTCCGAATACATTTTCGACAATACGTCTTGCTCGTGATAAACGGTAGTTGTAAATTTGTGTCTCCCTAGAAGTCAAGGCTGCCTGTCGAAAAGGTTTCATTAGGTCTACCCTCATCTCCTATAAATACATATGGTAGGCTTCTGTAAGTATTCCGTATGGTTTCTTCTCCAGGAAGTTTCAGGAGATTATTTTGTAGTTTTTCAAAAAATTTGGTATTTTGTAATACACCACCATCAGACACCCTGCCATTTGTTCCGAAATCGCACATTAAAATACGATAGTTTGCATCAACTAAGGCTAATAGCACCATGCTATGAAAACCTTTATAATTATAATAGTACGATCCGCTTCCAGATGGGGGCACGATGCTCACATGCTGGCCGTCAATGGCCCCAAGGCAATGAGGAAAATTCCAGAGTTCGTCAAAGCTCTGAGAAATGTTTCTCCAGTCTTGTTCTAGTCGTGGAAACTGAAAAAAAAAGATAATATGATGCATTATGCATGATAAAAATATGCATTAAAAATGTCTGGCGATATATGACAAAATAAATAAATTGTGTATTTTTTAATTTTTTTCATGTTTTGAATTTGTGAAATACGATTAAATAATACAGTGATAGAAACCATAGATATTTTCACACAAAAGAAACTAACAAAACTGTTCAAGCAAATCTTTTGTTACAGGATGAATCACAGGCCGAAACTTTAAACACAGATGCACACAGCCCTCAAACTGAACCTGAAACCCAAGATTCTACTGAAAAAACTTCAAGTGTGGCTTCAGGTTCGCAGTTTCGCCATAGACCGACACCAAAATCTCAAAAACCAGATGACCAAACACAGTTAACAAAAGAATTACTAGCAACCGTCAATAACCACTTCAAACGGCCACGCACAGCGGATGACCGGTTTGACATTGTTGGTAAAAACGTTGCTATGAAGCTCAGAGATTTAACCAACGATCAGAGACGCCTTGCAGAGAAATTTATTAATGACGTACTTTTTGAAGCTGCGGGTGGAACATTAACACCACATCATAAACTGACTTATCAGCCACCTTTGTCTAATCGTTATCATTCATCCAGTACCTATTCTAGCCGGCCAAGCTTTCAACTCTCCGCAACACCAACACCACCGCAGCAGTTGCTACTACTGAACTCCCGTACGTCAAATGAATATTATTCGAATCATTTATCTAGTTCCAATCCTAGCCGCCCAAGTTCTCAATCATCCGCAATATCATCACCATCGCAGCAGTTGCTACTCCAGAACTTCGAAGCTTCAATTGAACACCACTCCCAGAATAACATGTTTTTTCCCCAGACAGAAAGTGTTCAAGAAAGGGAACCGTCGGCATCACCTCGCCAGTACCAGACTGCTGGTTCTCTTTTAGCTTCATTCACTTATGCTGATAACAACTGATAACTGAACTTGTGTTTGTATCTTTTATGGAAGAAATATAATGTTTTTGTTTATATGTTTAATATTTTTTTATCTGTATTTTAATATTCAAAAAGATATTTTCTTACCTTCATAAAATCCTTGCGTAGAACTTCCCATATTGCTTCACAAGTTTCAGGAATAATGTAACTCAGAGCTTGAGGTGATATAATAGTGGAAAACTTGAGGTCCTCATAGGTTCTTCCAGTAGCTAGAAACCTTAAAGTTGCCGTCAGCCTTTCGTGTGCTGGGATTGCTTCTCTCATTACAGTGTCTTTTCTTTCTATCAAAGGTGCTAACAATGATAAAAGTTGCAGATACGTATCTTCATCCATACGTAGATAATTGTGCCAACCCTTGGGAGCTAACTTCAGGTCATTCAGCAAATTCACATGAGAAAAAACGCTCCTTTTTTTCAACCAATCTTTACACCATACCGTACGTTTTTTTTGGATTTCTTTTTACCCAAAGCAACTACTAAGCCGAGAAGTGCTAACGCGTCGTCGTCAGTAGAGGCCATAATATGATGATTGAGACTGATATTTCATATTCGCCTGAACGTGTAGAGGGTGGTCAGTCCATCAGGCGGCCGGTCTTCGGGCGGACTGTTCAGTTCGAACTGACAGGCCTGCCGGATCGTGTGTAGCCAGCATTACGGTACGCGTACACCAAAACCGATTTATCGGCCGATGTCGGGCCGCAGCTGTTCGGACGACTGTCTCGGACGTTTGTCTGTATACACTCCGGCCTTCATCGGTCGTTGCCTGTCGGCCGTCATTGTTGAGTACAGATTAACCGATTGAAGACGTGTATTTAAAATAGAGGATTTCGAAGAGATGTATCTTCCAGAAAATTCTTATGCACAGAAAACAACTGGTGAATTTCACCACATTTTCGAAGATTTAAAATTACAATCTATCAAGTTCCTCGAATATTTTAAAATGTGCTATTATATATTTCAGTATCTTAGTCTCTTAAGTTGCTCCATTTTTTTTACTCTTGCAAAGGCTATATCCATTTCCAATGCAACTTCAGCCCATAGACGTTTTCCAATATCTCGATTAATGTAACTTTTTGAGTTTTTATCGGCCTATTATCAAAAGAACCAATTAGTTTTTCAATATCCATACTCAAAACGCTCATTCATCTGTTATAATTGCTCGCGCACTGCCGAGGAATCTCAAGTTTGGACGTTGCTGTTTATCGGCCGTTGCCATCAACGGCCTATAACGGATTATGTGTACGCGAGCAGCTAGAGATCCGCCGGGTGGAACCTCCGGGTTGGACAGTGAGATATCGTGGTCTACCACCTACTGGTCCAAGTATTGAATATGCGGTTGGGAAGAAACCACTGACAGACTGTCGTTCTACAGTTGTTATAGGTTCTTCAGGATTGTGCCAATCAAGCCATGAAGTATTCTGAAGGTAACTATGACATCGCCTTGGATGTTTCGGTCGGAGAATGTGGTCAAGTGGAATAACCCCAGAGGATCTTCATACCTGTGTCTGCGAGCTCCAAATGGAATTCGAGTTGCGCGACGCTGTACTGCTTCAAGAAAATTACTGTCAGGGCCAGCAAATTCAAGAATTGACCTTACAAATGCCTTGTAAATGAAGGCGCAAGTGTTGACGTCAGATGCTTTAAAAGACCTCTTCACCATGTATATACGTAGAAGCTTCTTGGCTTTGGTTATAACACCGTGTATATGCTCTGACGAGGATAAACCATCGTCAAGACTATATTTAGAAGGAGCAATGAGAGCGCTGGTTTTATGATTGGCTCTTGCATATCGTTTTTCATAGACTGGCATAATGTATCCAATAATTTCAAGGGATGAGTGGAATAGCACTAGATAGTGAACTCCCTCTTGTGGTTTTCAGACAGTCGTCATTTTTTTTCTCATTAATACTCATGTTCCTCTTTTTGATATTTTTTAGTGAACTGTTTGAAAATAAAACCATTTATTATTATTATTAAAATATGCCCAGCCTTGCGTACTGCGATTTCTGTGATCCGTTTTATTGACTAAAAGAAACTTTAGGATATACTGTAAATAAGAGTACACACCCTTATACAGTTTAAATCTGTTTTCAATTATATTACAAACGAACTTACACATACCTAATCATAAAGCATCACACACCCCTCTAACAGGGATAGATAAATTAACAAACGATAAAACTCGTATAAATAATAAAATAAATAGTCCCTTCCTTTTTTCTGTTCTAATAATAGAATGATTCCAGAGATTAGAGCTTTTCGAGTATGGCAAATAAAGGAATTAGTATATTATCGAACCTGTCTTTGAATTTTGGATTCTCTTTCAATTCTCTCTCAACAAAATACCATCTATCATATAAATTAAACTTCTCTACGTTCTCAAAAGACGAGACGATATAACTGGACATTTCATTCGACAAGAATGTATTTGTTCCATACATACAGGTACAACTTTCCAGTAAAGCGGGTAAGGTGTAATCTTGAGTACTGGTAAATAATTCGTCTTTTGGAGCTAGTGTCTCTATCTGAAGCCCATGTAGTTGCAATTCATATCTCATTGTTTCATAATACTGTTGGATTAAGTTATTCAAGATTGAGTTAATAATATTTCTCTCCAAGTTCATGTATAAAAGCAAAAGGATGTCCATCATAATATGGCTATACCTCGTTAACAGGAAATCTACAAGTCGACAATCACCTTTATCATTAAAAAGCACATTCCTAAACTTTTTCGAGGGTCGAATGATCTTCTTCAGCCCATCATCAACAAATATGTCATTTTCAAGTTTTTTCGCAACAGTAATGTCTGTGGTGTAAAATGTACTTAGATTTTCCAAACACTTGTTCACACTTAACAGCCACTTATATCTGATTTTGCTTTTTTCGAAAGCAAATGTTCTTTCTGTACTTCTAAAGGATAGCGTTTGTTTATTCTAAATGATTTATCCTCCATACTTCTCTTTTCTTCGAAAATAATCGAGGCAGCATGGAATCTAGCAAGAGTTTTAATAGCTGAATAAGCACAACCTAAAGACCAGCAGGCAAAGTCATTCACCTAAAAAGTAAATTTTTTTTCACAAATCTTATATTTATAGCTGAGAGGTGGAAAGTCCAGCTGGAGTTGCTATTAATTTTCCAATTAATCTGGGCTAAAAACAAAGATACATATATACTAAATATTTACTGTTTATTATTTGGCTAAAAGTTTCACTTGTTTTAACCAGTACTCGAAACTTTGACTTCTGGACTATTGAGTCTTTCCAGCTCAGCTAAAAACTATCCCACTCAGACTTTTTGCTATATCCACTTAGATCTATTAAATATCCGAATACCCTAAATTCTCGGCAATCCCGCAATTTTTTAGAAAAAAAAGATTTTAACAAAAGTTCCAAGATACCAAAAAAGCAATTTATCGGTGACGCCAAAAATGACTCATATGGCTAAATATCATTTGGAAGCCAAATTTGACAATTCAAATAGCAACTACCTTTTTGACAACAGCACGCATTTAAAAAGTGGCTCCAACTATAAAATTTCAGGATATCAGAAAAGCAATTAGTCGATAATCTCGAGTGCGGCCTAGATAATATACTCAGTGGTCATATGGAGGTCAAGTTTGTGAATTCAAATAGGAATCATCTATTTTAATGACAGATTTGTATAATAGAGCTCGAAACTCTACGTCAGAGTAAGTGTATGAAAATGTACTCTGCTGTCAAAAATGATGGTTGCTATTTGAACTTACAAACTTAACCTCCAAGTGGTCTCTGGTATTTTAACATATTTGAAGTTAAAGATAAATAATTTTTTTCAAATCCTTGAGATCTTTGTAAAGATCTCTTTTCAAAAAATGCATGGTTGCCAATTTTTCGGTGTGTTCCTGTACAGATGTTAGGGCGGAAATAGTGGTTTCCTGCTTACCGACAACCAGAGCCGATCGGCGCCTATGAGCTCGTATAAGAATATAATGCTCTTGAGTTGGCAATAACACAATAGAGGCAAGCTCAGGCTTGTCGGTGCAGGCAGTCGGCGTTACCGGTTCTACCGGAAGGATTATTTAGTTCTTTCTCGCCGGTTGTTAGAGCAGATTGATGTGGATAAAGGATATAGACAAGTTACTCGCATCAGTATACAAACAAAGCCCCATATGATTCATTCTGGTGTACTGAAAAAGGCGGTCGGGGTCATATTTAAACGCCTTGAACAAATGGTGATATTCACCATAATGTACCCTCGCACGTTTTCTGGGGTGAATACCCACTTTCTTTCTTGTGATTATTTTAGTTACAGAACTGTCCAATGCAATAAATTCATCTTCAGATGAGTTAGACCCCATATTGACGCGAAGACTACGCTGGAACTGACAAGAGGCCGGTTTTATTTGCTTTTTTCTTCAGCACTGTGTCCATGACCAGCGCCGAAATTCGGTACCGCTCGGTGCTGGTTATCGGTTCACAGCTTCCACTAACTTCGCCCTAACAGTAGATAATACTACTTGGTTTCAAGTAAGAAAATGCAGTCTGTTTTACTATCTCAAGCTCCATACGATTTTGCCGTCAAAAATGATAGTTGATATTTGAGTTTTTAAACTTGATTTTCAACCTCCAAATGACCTCTAATGTTATTATCTATGTCACATTTGAAGTCATCGACAAATGGGTTTTTGATATCCTTTGATACTTTCGTTAGAATCTATTTTTGCAAAATATGCGGTTCAAGTTTTCACTTAGGATCACTTAACCTCATGTATGAAAATGCATTCGGATGTATAGTAGAAATCACATCTCTTTTTATTCACGTCACAAAAAGCCACGATTGGTGGACGACTTACGTAAAATGGCAAGTCATATAAATTTAATGTGCTAGAAAATGAAGAAGATATATTAGCATGTCTCACCGACTACAAATATGTCTACATGGTTGCCGCTTATGCACAGGCTTATTTTGTCGAATTCGCAAGTTTACGGCATGTCGTAAATAATATCATATCGTCATTTTGACGTTCAACTATGAGGTTAAAAATACCACAATACAGGAAACATGAATCAAATTCAAGCGGATAACCAAATGGAAATGGTATTTACCATTTTGGGTTGGTATTTACCAATCCGTTCAAGCGAGTGTAGTTATCAGTTTGGTTATAAGATCCGTGACGTCACGAATCAGCTGTTATATGTCATAGTTATCACCGCAAAATTGTGGTATTTACCCAACTCAAGAGTAGTTTTATATTTCTGGTTATTATTTGAAATGTGACAAGTTAGAATTTTGCCGGGTATTGGATATTGTTATTGTACTGCAGCTTCATTTTTGAAAAAAATGATACAGGCTGACTTCAGTTTTACCATAAAGTGGAGCACCTTATTAGTTATACTCATTACGGTTGTTGGGGACACTTTAAATGTAGTTCCTATGCTTAACAAAGTATGCTGTGTAGCCATATACCACAAGAATATTAAAATATGGCCATATAAACTCACAAGATGATATCCACCTGTATACGGTTTTGCTAATTTCTTTTTTCATCATTTCTGCTGAATCAATAAATGTTTTCTTTGACATGCGGAAAAATTTAGAGAATTGAAAGTTATCATAGCTACAAAGCCATGGTTCCATCTTTAAAAAAACATCTGAAAAAAACATTTCTCCCATGAATATTATGAAAGGTTTCTTATTTAAACTTTCCATATACAGTTGTAGACGAAAAAGCACCGATTATTATGTGATAATAAAAATAATCAGAGATTGTATACGCGCTTTTCTAAAATAAACAACTTGCAACAAAACCGCGGTTAAAACCAACGCGTTCAAGCGATTCGTGTAACTGACGTCATCTTGAACCATATTATAACCCTCGACACATAACACAGAAATTTTGGTTATTCGCTTGGATTTGATTATGATATTAGGATACCACAGGATGTTTGACATGACAGTTCATATTGTCAAAGCCTATCTTCTGTAATGTGTTCCGCCGTATTTCAATATCGACTTATCTCCGACTTACCTCAATGCGTAATTTTTCCATCACTCTCAACTTATATGCTATGCAGAGAGAATGAAAAAGATGACGAATGCTGAGAATTCCTACAACATACCAATTTTGAAGATGTATGGCATCACTGGTGATTTGAAGCCTATGACGTGCATTAAAAGTTATGTGACTCGAACTATAGAATCTCGATCTCTACACGGATCTACTTTAAAACATTGTAGTTGCTATATGAATTTTCAAACTTGACCCGTAAGGTCATTATATCTAGGTCATATTTATTAATGATAATAATAATAATATAGTGTGTCCTTATTCGATTTTGTACAAAAAAGAAAATAGAACATTACAACTTCATAGCTACTCTAAGTCGAAAAGGTGGAGATTACCTTTACGGTATTTTTCAACTCAACCTGACAAAAAAATAACAACAAGGTCGGATTCAACACAAAAGTACTACTCGATTCGGGTAATTGAATTTGCTTTTTTGATATTCTGCGACTTTGTTGAAATCCTTATAAGAAATGCGTGGTTGCCGAGTTTTCGGGGTGTTGGGATATTTAACAGACATATACAGGGTGACTTTGAAGTTGAGTCATTAATTTTCAGATAATGATTGTAGAAGGAAGATAAACCAAAATATGTGTGTAAAAATAAAAAAAATAAAAAAAAAATTTACCTTGTTTTATAAAGTATCCTCCCGACAAGTATTTCAGTGCGGACCTGTATTTGATCGTGAGGTCTTGGAGCACCGGCATGCCGTCCCCTGTGAGGTCTTAAGTCACCTGATTCACGAGCCCGTTGTACTACATTAACAAAGGCACGAGGGGTTGGTTACACTCGATTGGGAAACCGATCCGATATTTCGTTTGAGCCACGCAACAGACACTATTCACTCACGCGTTACCGACTGACGAAAAACATCGTGATAAACGTTTCAAATTCTTTCACTTTTTTGTTTCCGATGCGATGAACCGATAACGCGGATTATATCCGTTGTTGCCAAACACGCGCACATAATATTATTATTGAGACAGGGCGGTACTCAAACTTCCAAAGGGCTATAACTTTGTTACTTCAATTTTACCAGAAAAATGCTAAAGGAAAAAACATTTCTTTTGATCAGATCTACTCACTGTTAAAATAAATGACTCAACTTCGAAGTCACCCTGTATACATACATACCTGGAAATTTTTTGAGGCCATATCTTCCAGTATAATGCATTTGTCCTTTTTGTAAAAATAACAATTAGGTGCGAAACTTTCGCTAACAGATTCTATAAATTCGGAAACGAGATGTTTGTACGTTAAACCTTCCTTTTCAAAAATATTCATGTGCAATACGTATTGCCTTTGAGCCTCATTCGCTGTGGTAAGCATTTCATGAAAAAACTTTGTTTGTACTGGACACCATAGGAGTCAACGGAATCTGAAGTGAGTCTCAAATGTTGAGCTATGAAGCCTACCACCTGTAACAATATACATATTCATATTATACTGTTTGAGGCTCACAAAAGTTTTAGTTAGCTTTATTTATATTTTTGTTAAGAGTTTTAAATAGTGATTTGGCATTAACAAAAAAAATAGAGCAAGAGTTCAAGGGATGATTCTTTGGATTAAGGTCTATCTTCGAAATACAGCTTGTCTTAAAGATATAGGGACGATAAAAAATTTTAAAAACAATTTTGCAGCAAAAATGAGACTTAATGAACTGTGCAGAGTGAATCTGTAATGTGAGATATAAGATTCTAATATTTTTATCACAGTCTGCTAAATTATTTCAAATACACACAGGTTCATTGCTCACTGACTTATATCCAGCAAGATGAACATGGTGACTCGTGATTTTCTAAAAGAAACACACACATACACGACCTACTCAATATTTTGACCCTTCACCATTTTGAACAGTGTTTTTAGGTTCAGAAACTGTCAAAGTAAGTAAGGTGATAGAGAGGTGCATAAATCAGGAGCAAGAGGAGTACCTCGAACGTCACGGCTTGATTAGGGACAGGCAGTAAGGTTTCCGGCACTAGCGATCCACAGGGGACCTCCTAGCTTACGTCTCACAACTGTGGAGTAAACTAGTCTAGACTTACGGCGAATCTCATGTCGTTGCTCTTGATATCACAAAAGCGTTCGTTCAGCTGCGACATGCTGCCCTCTTTTACAAACTTCCATCATATGGCCTCCCATAGAAGCTTTGCATATGGGTGGGTAACTTCCTCTCTGGCCGCAAGATATCCGGGTTCTCCTCTTTATCCCACAACGTCAACGCGGGTGTTCCCAGGGATCTTAGCTTCGACACGGTTTCTCTTACATATCAACGATATGTAAGAGAAACTGCACGAACGATCCAATCCACAACCTGATACAGTTTAATGCTTGCAAAACGAACGAACAAAAAGCATCGTTGTGTCAATGTACGGCCGAGTACTACCAAAGAGCCGTTCATTTCGGCTAGTCGGAGTCCAAATCACGCAGGACTTGGTCTGCCACGAACACATCTCGTCAATAGCGGCATCTGCTGGGAAAGAAGGCTATTTGTTTAGGGTTAAGAAGTACTTTTCTCTACATGACCTCTTCACTCTGTACAAGGCCCAGATAAGACCTAGCCTCGAGTACTGCTCACATGTTGAGGTCCGACTAATCGATGACTCTTCTCTAACGAACCGTCTCGGGACCCCTTCGCACCGGCGTCAGCGATTTGGCCCCCTTCTACCGCTACGCCAACGGGCTTTGCTCCTCAGAACTCTCCTCCGTGATGCCTCCGCACAATGTACCTGCCTGACTTCGGCTTCCCATCCTAACCGTGTCGAAATTCGTACATCCAGAGCTGGCCGATACGACCCTATGATATCGAGATTGTGGAACAATCTACATGAGAAAGCTTTTACCCGTTCTAATAACCTTAGGCAGTTCAAAAATTGAATTAACAAAGTTTCTTTAAGCTGATCATACGAGTATCAGTCGCGGTGCCCTAGCACTTAAGCTTGTGCCCGCGCGGCTGCAACAGGGTAAAAAAATTAAGAAAACAGCCTTAGAGTAGTCCAAATAATCCGTGGATTTTCGGCCTTGGTTTTAGAAACACCATGTATTTTCTCTTACATACCTTATCGCTGAACGGATGTATCTTGTAGTTCGTTAGAGTATAACCTGGATAAAAACGATTTAGAATTTTATGACATTCATCTATACTCAAAATGTCTTTTTCTGACTGCATCGTTCTAATACGCTTTGGGCGAATAGTGCACCGTGTCTTATATGACAGCATATTGTAGCACTTAGATACTGCTACTTTGTGTTGATTTTCAAACTTCACCAAAAACAATAGAAATCATCTTCTCTGTATTTTGTTGATTTTTAGATTTATAGTATCAAATTGTTTCAATTAACGTCAGTCTTTGATCCAGACACAAAGAACAAAAGTATATACTGCATTTATAATAATAAGTGTACCTATATTGTTATATTGTTCTATATCAAAGTGCAAAGATTTATGGAAAATATAGCGCCAAACAGATTAGCTCTTACACATATCCATGAGCGCCCATTAGGGGGGCAAGCGGGACACGCATTAACCTCCTGGCTTCAGCTTGAGGAGTAAAATATGGCTGACCAAAGCCTCGCACTGTAGTCTCTTGGGGTTATTGTACATCACTATCAGCGTAAAATATGCTTAATCAGCCAGTTTCTTGGACAACAAATGGCGTCGGTATTTTTTACTCTTCATTTAGGAGCCCCCCGCTCTTCCATTTCCAATTGACAGTAACCCCCCCCCCCTTTAGGAGACCAAAATCTTAGTGAACCATTATAATATAATTCCAATCTACTGATGTCAGGCCCAAGCGGGAAAAACGTACGCCTTCTTCAAATCTGAAAAGTCATAAAATAGAAGTTCATGTTGATGATATGTATACATGCAAACACAAGGAAGATTTGTGAACCCATTCCAGCTCTGCGGACAGCTCTGACAAACAACAATAAATAGTAAATGGTAATATAAAGTAATCAGGGGGTTAGACTTTCAAAAAAGGTATCGCCCTACTCATTTTTTGACCAGTTAGCAAGCTGAAATTCGGAGTTATGGTGTTGATGCCCGAACACTATGTATATTTTAGCGTCAAAGTAACAGTAAAAATCCAAAGATGGCGGCTGGCACTTTCTTGCAAAATGGCGAACTGTCAGGCTATCAAAATTAATTGTTACTACTATTCGTCATTGTCTGTCAGAGCGGTCCGTAGGACCTTTGCTCTTGGTTGAAGTCTTGTAAGTCAGTACGTCTATCAGGTCTGGTTGCCCAGATACCAAACAAAGTCAGGGAGAAAGAAGGGAAGAAGAAAGGAAGGAAGGAAGGAGGGAGAGCAAAGAAAAAAGAAGTGCATCAATTTGAGGGGTGCCTTGGCATTGCTAGTTAGTATTCGGCAATTTTAAATTGATCCTAAAATTAATTTTGGGATTGGTTGTTAAAGAAAAATTATAATTTTGGTTGGACCTAAAGTCGCACGATTTAATTTTGTTCACAGTGCGAGTCGCGGCCTTGTGTGCTTGCGAACTTGCTCGACTGTGTAGTCTACTGACTCGCGCAACAAAGGGTTGTTATGCGATTCTGCTTGACTGTAACGTAGCTGCGCTTGTTGTTTGATGTAGTCCCTTAGGTAATGGATGTCAAGGTCTCTGTGAAGGGTCTCGTTGGAAACATACCATGGGACGTTAGTGATTGTACGCAAGGTTCTGTTCTGCAAAACCTGCAGGCTTTGCAAATGCGTTTTGGCGAGAAAACACCAAGCCGCACTTGCGCTGGTCTAATAACCATCTTGTATAGCCGAACTTTGTTGATCAAACTTAATTTTGATGTTCTACATAGCAAAGGGTAGAGTTGCCGAAACGAGATTTGGAATTTAGTTTTTAACGCTTCAGTGTGCTTCTGCCAGGTTATCCCCTTGTCAAGAGTGACACCGAGATACTTAGCAGAGCTTTCCCATGGTACCCGAGCTCCATTCACTGAAACCTCAGACGGGGCGCCGCTACGTTTTTTAGTACAATAGATTGCCTGCGTTTTCGAATGAATTAATTTTGATCAGCCACCGATTCGCCCATTCGAATACCTCGTCCACTGCACTTTGCAGCCTGTCGTGAACTAGATCCCCAGAGCACGACTGGGCCACCAGGGCAGTGTCATCAGCATAGAGATAGGTTTCACAGCTGCTGGGGCAAGGGACGTCATGAATAAAAAGTGAATAAAGGACTGGTCCAAGAACCGAACCCTGAGGAACACCGGCTTTGATGGGCCATGTTGTTGACAATTTTGATCCGAAATTTCGTACCCTCGAGAAAGGATTTCAAAAGTTTTAGGAGCCAGAAGAGGAAGCCCTTATGGATCAATTTGTAGAGAAGGCCCTTGTGCCACACCTTGTCAAATGCCTTTGAGACATCCAGTAGCAAGATGCCAGTACTTTCGTTACGGGTGAACCCCCTGGTTACTCGTTCAACAAGCCTTATGGCCTGTAGCTCCGTACTATGCTCAGATCGAAAGCCAAATTGCTCGTCAGGATTCACATTGTGGTCTGCCGAGAAATTTTCAAGGTGACGTAGAATCACATTTCCAGCGAGTTTAGAAGGAGCTGACAGTAGACTAATGGGGCGGTAATCCTGGGGGAATATTGAACTTACCTTCTTTGGAATCATTATCATCAGCGGTCTTCCACGCCGTTGGGAGGTGGCATTGATTATTGCCACGAGATAAGTTAAGGACTTCCGCGAAAGTAGCTTCAGCGCCTTATTAGTGATTCGATCCTCTCCAGGTGCTTTACGCACCTTGAGGTCTTTAATATGACCTTGGAGCTCTGCTGGTGTGCAATGCAGAGTCTCAGGAGATTCCGCTGATGTGCCGTGCAGCTCTTCAATTGAGGAATCTTCTGAAGATTCCTCTGAGGAAAAATCACTAAGGGAGGCACCACTGCCACGGACGCCGTTGGCCCTAAAATATCTCCTGACGGATCTTACAAAACGTTGCTCCTCGTCGAGGTCATTATCAAGGTAATAGTTGGGAGAGAACTGACTTTCCATTGCATCAGCGGAAACCTCGACGTTTTCCTCTGTCCTACAGACTAAGCCCCTAGGACCGTGGATGTGCGGGAGTTGTTCTCGCTTTCCGTTTCTGAGCGACTTTGCAACTTTCCAGAGAGGAATACTTGAGTCAAGCTTCCCCGACAGAAAGTCGCTCCATTGCTCATTACGGAATTCATGAAGAGCATTTCTCACTTCATGAACATGATTAGTTGCTCTGTGAATGTCATCTGGGTGACAAGACCTCTTCGCTTGCTCAATTGCAGCTCTTTTGTCAGAAATTTTCATACGAATGTCTGCAGCGAGAAAAGGTCTGCCGTGTCGTCGTACTGGTAGTACAGCTGCACGTTGCAGAGCTTGCTGAACGGAACTTGTCCATTCCGCTTGAGCAGCATCTATATGGTTCTCATCATCTATGATCAGGATATTGGGGAACTCTCTAAGGAGCGACTTGTATAGTTCCCAATCAACCCTTTTCCTTGGAAGAGTTTCCCCTTCCAAGGTTTGCTCATTACCCACTTCCAGTACGATAGGAAGATGATCGCTCGAAATGACATACATGATTCGAGAAGTGACACTGAATCTACAGTTTCTAGATATCGCGAAGTCAATGACATCTGGTGCCTCAAGGTGATTAAATGGTGAGTCGGCTCCTCAGTGCTGTGTATGAGGTAGCCGTTTTGTATCACATGGTTGTAAAGTCGAATCCCACTGGTGAAATTTAACCTAGAGTGCCTTGCTCGATGTTTACAGTTAAAGTCCCCTGCTACAATAAGCGGACCCGAGCAGTCAAACAGGACTTCCAGATCCGTCTCTTGCAGCCTGGCACCACATCTGACATAAACCGATGTGATTTTCAACGAGATACCTCCCGTCAGATTCACTACTACGGAAGTTGCCTCGATGCTCTGCATCTCAGCGTTTGTGCTTCTGTAATAGTCAATACCACGTTTTACTAGCACTGCCAAACCGCCACCCCGTCCAGTTAATCTATCAGCGCGGATAACATCATAATTCGGGAAAGCTAGACGATCTCCCGGATTAAGAAATGTTTCCTGCAGCAGAGCTACATCTACGTTCTCATCCAAAAGAGCTTGATGAAATTCTCGTTTTTTTGGGGACATTCCTAAGACCCAAACAATTCCAGAAAAGAATTTTGATGAATTCAGGCTGCTATTATACCTAGCCATTTAGCGGAAAGATCGCCTGCAATGCCTTAGTGGGGCTCATCAGGGGACTAATAATCTGCTGTAGGGACCTGAGCTCTGTTGCTAGGTCCACATTTTGAGTAGTCGTAGATGAAGCTCGAAACAGCAGGGGCAGTTGAGGTGGCATCTCTTGCTGCGTCCGCGTAGGACTTTGCTCGCCTTTGTGCGATGACTTGTAGATTTCTCCTAGGAGTAAATCTACAGGTTGGACTGTTTGCCGGATGGTCACCCCCACAGTTCGCACATCTGCGAACCTCTTGTCCTGTTTGAGGGCACATATGTGTCATGTGGTCTTGGGCACATTTTAGACACTTTGGCGGCGCAGTGCAATACGACTGTGCGTGTCCATACTTCTGGCAGCGGTGACACTGTCCAATGAGTCGAGAGTTCTTCTGAACTTCGACTCTGATAGAGAGCCCCAGCAATTCGTGCTCGTTGAACACTTGCTGTGACTTCTCCGGCTTAGGCAGGATCACCACCATCAAGGGGATGGGCACGCCGCCGTTGCGCTTTAGGCGAATGATGTGAAAGGGAGCGTAACCCTTCTGTTCTAGCTCACCTTTGAGCTCCTGTTCGGTGGTTGATGCTGGGATACCTCTGATAACCGCATGGATGTTGCGTTCAGTGGGCAAAGGGAAAGTGTGATGAGGAATGTTTTCCTCTTTGAAAAGACGGATTATCCTGCGATAATCGTGTTCGGTTTTGGGGATGATACGAATCCCAGCGTCAACGGCGACTGCTCGTTCAATACGAATACCAAGACTTACAAAGGAATAGTTTAAGGTGCGCCATTTTGTCGCATCTCTCAACACGATTGGAGTAATACTCACCTGGCGAGGCGATTGGGCCTGTGTGTTTAGAGATCCGCTGGATGGCAAGGAAGATGAGATGCAGCCAGCCAATGGATCAGACTGTACTTGGGGTATAACAGGAGGAGCACTCTGTGTGGATGCTGATAAAGGTCTTTCCCTTGGCTGACTAGTAGAAGCGGTAGAGTGTACAGACACAGACGGTTTTAGGTTGCCTGAATGTTTGTTATTTGGGGATTTCGTCGGTAGCGGAGGGAATTCTGTTTTGCGCAGTCTCACTTTGCGACGTCGCACAGGTGTGAAAAGATCACCCTGTGTGTCCTCATCGGTCTCAGTATGTAGGTCACTCGAATGGCTGTTATGTCTACGTTTTGCTGTTTTGGAAGAATCAACATTGGGAACTGTTTTATGAATGATACTTGTAAGCTTAAAAACCTGGGCATTAAGTGACTCCACACAGTCAGTCAGTCTCTGAATCTGGGCTGCTTGGTCTGCAATTATCTCCAAAAGTCTCTGGTTCTCGTTTTCCTTCTCCAGTATCGGTGTCATCCCTGATGTCAACATTGGCGTCA